TGAGGTATACCTCCATGCCCAGCTGCAAGTGATTTTTAAGCCATAACTATAAAGTCTTTCGAGAATAAGGCAAAGGACAGATTAATATCATTTAAAAACGATAGTTGCAAGGCTATCGTGGCAGCATACACCTTTAGTCCAGCACTCAGCAGACAGAGGTAGGTGGATCTCTGTGAGTTTGAGGCTAGCCTACTCTATGTAGTGAGTTCCAGGCCAGCCATGACTACCTAGTGAGACCCTGTCTAAAAGAAAAAGACATTGCTGTTCCCTGTGAGGTTGTTACTGTGGGTCTATGTTTACCTATCTACAGCACTCTGTATCTGAAGGTAGCCATATTTTATTTCATGCAGCCCCACTGATGAGTGGTTTTGAAAAGAGTCAGTAATGACGCATTTGGTTCTAGGAAGAGCCACAGGCTAGCTGGCCTATATCTGACAAGTCGGTGGTGCAGGAAGCTATCATTGCTTTCAGAAACTACAGTGTTTGGTTCAGTATAGACAGGGAGGCTCACTCCTTAGCCTTAAGGGGCTATGGAGAGAGTGACACACATGACAGCTGCTGTGCAATCTCCAGCCAGAGGTATTAAAAGGGTGCTGAGAAGCTGGGGTGAGGGAAATGTTCTATAGATGGATGGTGGTTATGGCTGCAAATCTACCTTAAATCATTGACAGTATACGTAAAACAGGTTAAACTTCATGCTATGTAAATTGCTACTCAGTAATTTCTTAAAAACAAATAAAAGCTGAACCCGGATACTTTGTGAGTCCAAAGATTGTCTTTAGTTCTAAATTAAAACTGTGATCTTTACTATCTTTGTAGAGAGACTGCAGTAAAAGCAAGGCAGGGATGGGGGCAGGAGTTGGAGCAGGGGTTAAGCAGTAGTTCCTGCTAAGGTTAGTCTTGCTTAGGTCCCTAGGTCTGGAGTCTGACTTTTCAGGAAGCTGCTGAAGGTCTTCAAGTATTCCAGTGACATAGGCTGATGCTCAGCTTAGAATGAGACAAAAGGCAGGAAGATGACAAAATCAGATATGACAAGGAGATCATCTAAACATTAAAGGATACTGTGGTAGTCTTGGGTGGAAATTATGGTACTTGGAACCATGATGGTGGCCACAGGATAAAGGGTGGCACAGGTTCATGTGCCCTTAGGTGAGCCTGGCAGAGTATGGCAGCCAAAGCTTTGTGGATAAGAGAGTCAGGGAAGGGTTGATCAGAGGAGGGGTGGTAGAGGGACAGACATGTGACGCCCATCTATGGACATGCTGGATTAGTGATGCCTGGGTGGCACCCAGATGAAAATAACCAATAAGCAAGCACACCCATGATTCTGGCATTCTACGAGACTGGTTACGAGTCATTTATATGAAGTAGTGGTTAAAAATAGGAAGAGCCAACAAGAGGGTCTTGTATATCAGAAGGGGGGACGCTGAGGATGGGACCTTGCTGACTCAGCAATGAAGGACAGAGAGAAGAGGAGAAAGTAGGAAAAAAGATGGAGATTAACATGAGTGAGACAGTATGCCAGGAGACCGTGACAGGAGAGAGGACAAGACAAACAGTCTTCAGGAAACAGACTAGGAAGGCGGCTCAGAAGTGGTAAGGAGAAGGAAGTGCAGATTTAAAAACAAACACAGAACCAAGAAGGAAGTGGAGACAGAAATGAGGCTGTCTAAGATGTTTGAGACAGACAGGAGGAAGCCAGGGAGGCTGTTAAAAGGAGCAAGGCTTTGTGCTTTGGTCCTTAGGGCGGGAACTTCAGGGTATTTGTAGACTGAGCCAGTAAGAACAGAAAGCTGGGCTGAGGGTACAGTTCAGTTAGTAGAGGGCTTGCTTCTCATGCAGGAGGCCTTGGATCCTGTCTCCAGTACAACAACAAATAGATAAGCCAATACATAGAATATAAATGCATACACAAGTAAATAAAATAGAGAGGGCAGAGAGGGAGAGGAGAGAGAGAGAGAGAGAGAGAGAGAGAGAGAGAGAGAGAGAGAGAGAGACAGAGAGAGAGACAGAGAGAGAGAGAGAGAAAGGGGCATCAAAATACAGACAGCAGACTCTCATGGATGGCAGAGGCTGGACTGAGCCAAGGTCTCAGCTGGTCACTAGCAGGACAGTGGTCACTTTGCCCTCTGAGATTGGGGGTCTGGAAGGTTGTGGAGACTAGGATGCAGGGGAGGCAGTTGAGAGAGCTCCCTTGCTGCTGGCTTGGGTCTTTGTTTGAAAGGAAATTGGAAGTGTGGAGTCAGATGTAAAGACTGGAAAACTTTTAAGATTATAACTGTAAATGTGTTGGAGGGAGTCATTCTTTTCTGTCTGCTGATGCTCGTCTCCATCCATCACCTGCTCTGCTTCCAGCTCCTGGGTTGGACCACTTTTTGCCACCTGCATGCCTAAGAACTTAGTCCAGCTCGCCATATCGTCTTTCTTAAATGTCCATCATACTTTCAAAATCGTTTGCTTTTTCTCTCACCCCTTCTAGCCCTTTCCCCTCACAGAAGTCAAAGCGATCTAAAAAGAGAAAAAAAAAATCTAAGCCAGATGTCTCCTCCCTCCAAAAGTCTCCAGTAATTCTCACTGTGGTGAGAGTCACATGTATGACATGTCCGGCTTTCCCCTGTAAGAGCCAGCTGGATCCGGATCTGCAGAGCGCCTCCACCTCCTCATGTTAGACACTTTCCCTTGGCTCTCGAGGAGCTTGCCCCTCCTCCATTATTATGCTGGGTTCTTTTGTTTGTTTGGTTTGCTTGTTTTTTTTTTTTTTTTTTTCATATATTGATCAGCAGCTGTTTCAGTCAGTTTTCCATGACTGTAAGGAATATTTGAGGTAAATCAGCTTAAAGACAGGGAAGATTTGTTTTGGCTCCCAGCTTTACAAGTTCCATTATGACAGACACTTCGATGGAATGGCCCTGTTGCCTTGGGCCTGGGGTGTTACAGCAGCATCCACTCACCTCATAGTGGCCAAGAAGTGAAAAGACAGAAGGGGCTGGGTTCCCCTAGTTCCCTATCGCAGCACACCTCCAAAAACCTAAGACCTTTCGTTAGGACCCACCCCTTAAAGGTTCTACCATCTCCTAGTGCCAAATGGTTCCTAGGGAACCAAACCTCTGACACGTGGGATATGAGGAAACATTCTAGAGCCACACCGGAGTGGTAACTAAAACAACTTTACACTGTGAGCACACTTTCTATTCCTAAACTTAGAATAAGAATGCTGGAAGAAGCTGGGCATTGGTGGCACATGTCTTTAATTCCAGCACTCTGGAGGCAGAGGCAGGAGGATCGCTGTGAGTTCGAGACCAGCCTGGCCGACAAGAGCTAGTTCCAGGACAGCCTCCAAAGCCACAGAGAACCCTGTCTCAAAAAACAAAAAGAAAAAAAGAAAAAAAAATGCTGGAAGAGCAGGGACCTTGTTCAACACAAAGCAGGCACGTAATGGATTAAACATTGGTTAAATCACCAAATAAAACACAACTGGCAATATTGAAAGCCTATGTGATCTTAGAAAATAAAACTAAACGGATCCAGGATGATACATGATCGCATGATCTGATTTTCTTCACCAAGGATGGTTGATAACAAGACAGTCCCCTTATCCACTCATTGTAGAAACAGAATTTAACAAGTATTTCCCCGTGCCAGCAGGTGGTGGGGGCATCTCTGTGAAAAGTGGATGATTCCCTGAGTAACCTGTGCGAGGGTTGACATTCTTACTCAATTGCTGGAAGTCTCCTCCCCTTTGTAGTCCTCTTGGGTGTGGATTGGCAACTGTGGAAAGAAACTGCCGATCCTTTCCAACCCCAGAACAGGGTGGCCCTGTTCAGGTGAAGTCAGGCTACTGAGCCGGGTCTGGTTTCCTTGGTGACCCACGAGGCTCAGTTCTATCTGAAATTGCTAAGGAGGAGGAGAACCTGATGGCTGAGCTGTGTTTTCTTAGGGAGGGACTGCTTTCTGAGATTCATGGAAGCTGGGGATGTGTCTCCTTGATTGGTGAGGGCTGCTTCACACAGGGGGGAGCTGAGTGACATCTCCTAAAGGCTCTAAGAACACCACAACCGAGTCCAGTGAGTCTGTCCTATGCCAGCCCCAGGTAATTGCATCATGACCCCTCAGGCTCCCCGTCAGTTTTGTTTTTGCATGTAAACACTGTAGCCAGGGAGACCAGAAGTTTGCTTGTTGTAGAGTGTGTTAACCACCTTTCTTCTGGCACCCATGACAACAGAAGGGCATGCTATTTTGTAAATGGTAGGGCAACTTAGTTAACCCCTTAAGGTCTTTTTGCTTCTCAGTTAGCTAAATATGAACCTTAATATCGCTTATTGCCAAAGGTTGGGGGTAAACACTGCGTTAAATAGGTGTGTGGGTGTGTGAATGTGTGCATGGTATATGTGTGCACAGGTGCCCACACCCAGGCACATGTGGGGGCCAGTGGAAGATGTTGGGTGTCCTGCTGTATCACTCTTTATCTTACTCCTTTGAGATAGGTTCTCTCACAATCTGGAGCTAGGCTGGTGGCCAGCCAGCAGACAGACCCCAGTGATCCCCTGTCTCTGCTCTGCAGAGCGCTGGGGTTACAGATACACATGACCATGCTTAGCTTGTTGTGTGGTTGCAGGGGCCTCAAACTCAGGTCCTTATGTTGATGCAGCAAATGCTCTTATCCACTGAGCCATAGCCCCATGGCCCCTTGCACTAAATATTTTCTCAAGTCCTCATGTTTATTCAGCAACGTTTCACTGCCTGAGCCATGTCCCAGCCCCTATACTTGGGTTTTTAAAAGGCCCCCTAACATTGCAGCATGGGGGATAGCGTGGGGTGAAATATGAAAATTGGGAACACCACTGGGAGAAAAATGCTTATTTCACTTCTGTTATGTGTTCTGACAGTGTTATGAAGTTGGCACCAGTCATTTTATAGGTGAGTGGCAGACTGGGGTGGGCTTCCACCGACGCTGCCTTAAAATTCTATTCCCCAAAGGCCACCCTGGCTCCGGCAATTACCTGATATTCCGAGTCCACCTTATGCTGCATGTCCCGCAGATATTGAACATCACTGACAAACTTCTGCCTGTCCCTTGTTTCATGCAACATGGTTCTTAGCTCCCGACCTACGAGAGAGAGAGAGAAATAAGCATACTGTGACAGATGTTTTTGTGATTCACCATATTTGGATTTATTTGAGTATAATTGCATATGTTCTTTTATTAATCTATTCCCCCATTGAAAGGCACATTTTTTTTTTTGTATTTGTGTCCAAGTTCTTCTAGCCTTTTCTGTTCTAGCCATAAATAATGCAGTCACATTCATCAACTGGCTTAAGGGAGCTTATCCTGGTTATTCACAGGGACTTAGGTTGACCGACACCTGATTGGGGAGCGGTTCTACTACATGGCAGAGATGAAAACAAGAACCCAGACAGATTTGCAGTCTTGGTTGCTTAAATTCACATGTGTGACTATTGTCCTTAATCCAACCCAGATACGACCAGCTGCTGGGTAGAGCAGATACGGTCCCCACCTTTGTGTTGCTGACAGCCTAGGGTAGAAAACCAAAACTAGACAATCTAACTCTGCCAGAGTACGGATATGGGCTCTTTGAAAGAATGGTATTGTGGAAGGGCAGTGTCTGGCTGGAAGGGGTCAGCCTGAGACCCTGGGTTTGATAAATCATGAATTAGAGGATAGCAGGTGCCTCAGGGCATGAAGGAGGATGAGGAACAAAGTGAGGGCGGAGCATCTGGGGCAGATGGTGGGGACCAGAATGATGGGGGGCTGGCAGAGACCAGCTCATATGGGGCCTTGCAGGTCATAATGATAAGTCACATGGAGTTATTGATAGGTTCTAGCCCAGGGAAGAAATGCTACATGGCACGTGTACATGTGTGTGTGCATGGGTGTGCACACATAAGCGAGAGCTTGACACCAGTGCACATGTAAGCCAGAGCTTGACATCAGTTGCTATTTCTCCCCAATCATGCTTCACTATTTTTTTTTTTTTTTGAGACAGGGTCTCTCATTGAGCCTAGAGCTCACTGATTGTGCAAGAACAGCTGACCAGAAAGTCTCAGGGATCCTCCTGTCTCTGCTTGTCCAGGTTTTTAAATGGGTGAGGGTGACACAGTCCTGAACTCATCTTAATGCTTACTCTAGCGACATTTATATTTCACTGACTGAGCCATCTCCCAATCCTTTACATTTGTGGATTTTTTTTGCTTTGTTTATTTTGTTTCTCTCTCTCTCTCTCTTTTCTTTTTGGTTTTTCAAGACAGTGTTTCTCTGTGTAGCTTTGGAGCTTATCCTGGAACTGGCTCTGTAGACCAGGCTGGCCTTGAACTCACAGAGATCTGCCTGCCTCTGCCTCCCGAGTGCTAGGATTAAAGGCGACCAATGCCTGGCTTTACATTTGTGTTTTTAAAAGGCTCTTAAACTTGTAGTATGGAGATGGGGTGGGGTAAAACTCGGAGTTGTGACCACGGCTGGGACATGAGCTTGGGCAGCAAATGTGTGAGGTGAGGACGAGGAGGACAAAGGTGGTGGAGAGAGGCAGCGCTCCCATGGACCAGCCTATATTCACTCATTTCACAACAAAATGCTGCAAGGCAGACACCAGAGTTTCTGATATAGAAAACCTAACTACACCTCAAGAACGTTTAGCGGAAAAGGAGGCATTTTGACCATCTGGAGACACACAGCCAAGAAACAGCTAGGGTTTTCCTCAGTTACTCCTTTCTTCGGTAGGGCTTCTATTGCTGTAACAAAACACCACGACCATAAAGCAAGTTGGTGAGGAAAGGGTTAATTCAGTTTACACTTCCATATCCATGTCCATAGATGAAGGAAATCAGGACAGGAACTCAAACCAGGACAAAATCCTGGACGCAGGAGCTGCTGACTACTGGCTTGCTCCACAAGGCTTGCTCACCTGCTTTCTTTTTTGCTGTTGTCGTTGGTTTGTTTGTTTTTCTAGACACAGTTTCTCTGTGTAACAGTCGAGGCCATCCTGGAACTTGCTCTGTAGACCAGGCTGACTTTGAACTCAGAGATCCGCCTGTCTCTGCCTCTCCAGTACTGGGATCAAAGGCATGTGCTAACACACCTGGCTAGCTTCAGTCTGCTTTCTTAAAGAACCCAGAATCACCAGCCAAGGGATGGCACCACCCACCATGGGCTGGGCTCTCCTTCATTGATTACTAATTGAGACAATGCCTTTCAGCTGGATCTCATGGAGGCATTTCCTCAACTGAGGCTCCTTTCTCTCTACTTGTGTCAAGGTGACACACAAAACCAACCAGTACAACTGACCCCTTGCTAATGTGACACACAAACACATCACTATTAAGCCACACCCCTTCCTTTCTTATTCATCCCCAAGATCTAAACATAACTTTACAAGTCCCACAGTCTTTACAAATTCAAATAATTAAAATTTCAGTCCCTTAAAAATAGCCAATATCGCTGGGCGTTGGTGGCACATGCCTTTAAATCCCAGCACTCGGGAGGCAGAGGCAGGTGGATCTCTGTGAGTTTGAGGTGAGCCTGGTCTCCAGAGCAAGTGCCAGGATAGGCTCCAAAGCTACACAAAGAAATCCGGTCTCTCTCTCTCTCTCTCTCTCTCTCTCTCTCTCTCTCTCTCTCTCTCTCTAAAAATCCAAAGTCTTTCAAAATTCAAAGTCTCTCAACTGTGAGTTCCAGTAAAATACTTTCTTACTGCAAGAGGGAGAAAAATTCAGGGCACAAACAATTCAAAGCAAAACAAGATTCCAACACCCCAGTGTCTGAGTTCTACTCGATCTTCTGGACTCCTCCAAGGGCTTGGGTCTCTTCTCCAGCTCTGTCCTCTGCAGCACACACGGCTGTCTTCTAGGCTCCAACTGGCTCCACTCCACTGCTGCTGCTGTTCTTGGTGGTCATCCCATGGTCCTGGCATCTCCAAAACACTGGGGTCTTCTGCTGCGCCTGGGCTGCACTTTCACCAATAGCCTATCATAGATAGGCTCTCTTTATGGTGCCAAACCTCAACTTTGCATGACCCCTTCAGTCCTGTGCCTTCAACTGCCACTGAGGCTGCACCAGTGGCCTCTCCTGGCCTCTTCAGTGCCAAGCCTCAGCTGTTCTCCATGACCCTTTCATGCCTTCAAAACCAGTACCACCTGGGTGACTCTTACATATTACCAAGTCCAGCAGCCAGCACAAGGTACAACCCTGGCTGCCCCTGGAACACAGCTTCTCTGTACTCTCAGGAAACATTTCCAGACGATTTCGCCTCAATGATGCTGCTCTGTCTGTCTGTCTGTCTGTTTCTCTTTTTGCAAGACAGCATTTCTCTGTGTAGTCCTGGCTTGCCTGGAACTCACTCTGTAGATCAGGCTGGCTTCAAACTCACAGAGGTTCACCTTGCCTCTGTCTCCTGCGTGCTGGGATTAAAGGCGTGCGCCACCATCACCAGGCTGCAGGTCTCTTCTTAGTCACTGCTGATTTCTTAGCTCCATGTAACCAGCATCAAGTATCATAGTAAAGCAAGATTTCACTTTAGTAGTGCTGGTATTTTGTTAATCACCACTGATTCTTCAGCCTCAGCTACCCAGAAGCATAGGCTCTTAATAACAAATGGCCCAATAGAGTCTTATCTTCCCTGTGAAGTCTCACAGGCCAGGCCTCCATTCTCTGCATTGCTCTTAACATTCTTATCTTCCTAACTCCCATGAAATATCCCACAGAGCTCTTAACACTCAATGGCTCTTCTAACCAGAGTTTCAAAGTCCTTCCACAATCCTCCTAAAAACAGGGTCAGGTCTGTCACAGCAATACTGTACCACACTGGTACCATTTCTGTCCTAGGGTTTCTATTGCTGTGATGAAACACCATGACCATAAAGCAAGTTGTGGAGGAAAGGGTTTATTCCACGTATACCTCCACATTGCCTTTCATCACTGAAGAAAGTCAGGGCAGGAACTCAAACAAGGCAGGATCCTGGAAGCAGGATCTAATGCAGAGGCCATGCAAGGGTGCTGCGTACTGGCTTGCTTCTGGCTTGCGCAACCTGCTTTCTTATACAACCCAGGACACAAGGATGGCACCACCCACCATGGGCTGGGCCCTCCCCGACTGATCACTATTCGAAAAAATGCCTTACAGCTGGATCTCATGGAGGCATTTCCTCACCCGAGGCTCCTTCCTCTCTGCTTGAGTCAAGTTGATACCCCAAACCAGACAGTATACCTCCTATCCAATGCTTTGCCTGCCTGGCATCAGGAAGGGTAGCTTTGTGGGACAAGAATGTGGAGTTTGAAGTGAAATACTGTAGATACTTCAAACTCCACTTTCTTGTCTCATGCTGCAAATGGAGATGTCAAGCCAGCAGTTAGAGATGCGAGGCTCTGAGCTGATTGGACGGGTAAAGATTTGGCCACTGCTGGCATATTGATAACAAATGAATTGAAACAAAATGGGTACTGAACAGAGAAAATGGACATGGGACAAAACCATTAACAAATAAAATGTAAGGAAGAGGCAGTTGAAAAGGAGTTCAGTGAAGGACCACAGCGGCATTAGAAAGCTCAGAGGGCATGGCTCCATAGAGGCTGATGAGGTGCTTCCAGGAAGAGACTGTTAATACCCCTAGCAGGAGCAGTTACTGGACCAAATGGAACTGAAGTTCCATTGTGTTACTGTATAAACAGGTGGTAAAGACATGACTTGACTTCAAGAAATCAGGCTTTGGTTGGTGTGGTCTAATTTATGACCACAATATTATAGCTTACAAAGTTATAAAATAGCACTGTTTGCACTGAGACTGCCAGATCTCATCAACAGATCATTGAAGGCCCCACAATTCATTTCAACTCATAGATTGCTATATATATTCTTAATGACTACTGTGGGCTCTTAGCTGCTCCAAACAGCAGGGGGACAGTCACCAACCAAACCCTCAGGTGTGAGCTCTCGCTTTCCTTCCCTCCTCTGCTTTATTCAGTGTATATAGAGACAATCATCTTGTCCCTGACTCACGGTGACTGAGTGTCTGGTCTGGGAGTTATGGAATCTTGCAAAGTTTATCATCTACCCTGAGCAGCAAGGAGAGCTTCCTGGTACCTGGGGGGACTGTTTTCTCTCAAAATAGACAGTGGGTCTTTGGAGAGTTGGGGTCTGAAACTACAATATATAGTTCTATAGTTTGTGAAACACCTAAGTAGTACCATGCTTCTCCCCTCTCCTAACTATCCACAAATTCTCCATATGATAAGAATCAAGTTGACACATCAACCTTTGACCTATAAGACCAACTTGACCTAGTTCTTTTGAATGCTTCAGGGCAGTTTGGACTTGATATCACTTGGCCCAGGATGGTTGGGTGAGCACTTTCCCATCATGCACTTGCACAGGCATATGTCTCTACCCTCATTACCTCTTTCTTCTTCATATATTCATCGGCAACTGTGTTAGTCAGTTTTCCTCGACTGTAACAAATACCCAAGGCAAGTCAGCATAAAGATAAGACTCTGTGTATGTGTGTGTGTGTGTTTGTGTGTGTGTGTGTGTGTGTGTGTGTGACACAGAGAGAGAGATTTTCATCAGACATTTATGGACCACATTTAAAAATGTCACTTTTAACTTTTCATATAAATTTGTACCTGCATCAAGTTGCTCCTGCTCCCCCCTTTTCAGAAAATGGTGGGGTTAAAAACAGAAAGATGGACCCCTGCTGCTCCTGTTGGGAAGAGAAGCCTGTCTGAATATTAATCAGGCAGGGCACACCAGGATTCACAACCAGACTATGTCAATGGGCAGGAAAGAGCACAGCCTACAGCCCAGTGGCATGAAACATTGTAGGTGCAAAGTCAACACAGCAAAGCCAGCTAATCTATCATGGCTTCAGGGTGGTATAATTTAAAGGAAGTCAATAGGGCCTGAAATAACCGGGCCGGAAGAGGTAGGAACCAATACCACTGGAAGACTTGCTAGGTACTTCTTGACTTCATAATCGGCTACAAAACAAAGGACTTTGCCCGAAAGCAACCCTCCCGCACCCACCCTAAGCTCCCAGGTACCCTAATATTTGAAGCACCAAAGTGCCACATGTAGTTCCTTATTTAACTATATCAGGACTTTATGAGATGTAACAATCTGTCTCCTTGGTGTCTGTGTCTGTCTGGACAGATACCAAGGAAACAGTTCATTATCTCAGGTTAGGGAAATATTCTCCACATGAACTTGAATTTTAGACTGCACTGCAAGTTTAAAAAACTGACCAGAGTGAACAAGAAATAGAAATAACTAGATGGAAATAAATCCACAAGAGATAATGCTTAATTCTCAGAGTCCCATTTTGTGGGCCTACTCAACTAGATGGCCATTTGAAGTCAAGGGTGTTTTGTTTTTGTTTTTGTTTTTCTGAGATATAGGCAGTACTTCGTGGGATTGATTGGATAATAAGACATGGGCAAATTTCGGTTCTAAAATAGCATTCTGTGCTATCTTCTGTTCTCACCTTTGAACGGCTTTTCTTTCTGAAATCCATGCATGGTCATGCATGCGTCTGTTATGAGCCTCTGGTGGGAAAGTGCTGGACTGAGTTTATGATTTATAAATCAGTGTAAGAAGCCATGTTAAGGAGATTGAAAGGGCCAGGGATAAGAGATGTATAAGAGGAGAAGAGGAAGTGAGTGGTTCTGCCAGGCCTCAAAATTCTACACATCTGTGAAATTTCAGTGGGGAATATTCTAAGAACTCTATGACATATAAATTCCTCACTGATGTAAATTTCCAGGGAATTCAGGGTGAGGTGCCCTGACTAAGAACAACAGGGTTTGATGGCAGAATATGCTTCTTTCCGTTCTCTAAACGGATCATACATGTGATATATAAATTACGTATAAATGCCTATGTACATGCTATCTCCTTTCCTATGTCCATAATTGTCATAAAAAAAAAAACCTGGATCTGAAAGAAGTGCTTTAAGCTAGCTTACCATTTTCTCACTGTACTCTGAGTGAAAAATCACTAAAACGATACTGTGTTGGTTTTGGCAAATAAGCAGAATGTAAATTTAACCTCTCTAGAATGAAGCTTCATTTGAAACAAAATTTAAGTAGCTGTGTCGCTGCCTGACAATCAGGTTTATAAATTCCTCCTTTCCCGAGATTGGGTGCTTGGAAGAAGGATTTGAGAAAACTTCAATTCAACCTTTTCCACAATGAATTAATTTGTAATGACAAGGATTACAGGATTTGTTTCCATTTTAACTTGGGAGAAAAAAAATCTTACAGAGAGTTTAAAAAAAATCTCACTTTATAAACTTGTACTGAGAATAAGTTTAGTGACTAGGCCCATTTTATACTTCAGAGGTTGAGGCTTGAGGCAGCGTGGGGGGCCCTGACTCTTCCCATTTAGTTTAGAAAATGCAGGACCGGTGCGCGAGAGACTTAGCTAACAAATACTGACCATTAAGCCCAGAGGAAAGACTGTTAACTGGAATAGCGGAAAGGAACAGCGCCAAGTTTGACAAGCCATTGGGTTCTAACGTTAATAATACCACCGTCTTTTCAAACTCAAAGCTATTTCCTGGACTTGTAGACCAATGGCATATACAAGAGAAGGTACATAGCTGTGTGACGGGGCTGCCAGTGTGAAGAAAAAAAAAAATGACCACACGCCTCTTAAATCTATTCCTTTGAGGCAGAAACAAACTGGAGCTGGGGTCAGCTAGAGGAAGAGAGAGGCTGGCCACCACGCTCCAGGCCTGATTTCCCTCCAGAATCTTTTAAGTTTAGAAGGAAAAGTTGATCCTCAGTCCTGGGAGGGCTGGGGCGTCGCCCGTTACCTTGGGGATCAGCACTTTTGCCCCTTGCCAGGGACTAAAGGGGCGGCGGGGCAGAGCGGGTGGGCAGGCCCACAGCAGAGGAACCGCCCATCAATTGTGCGTGGGGCGGGTCCTAGGCTCCTCTTCCTCCCCCACGGCTCACGTCTTCCCTCCTTCTTGCGGCCCCTCTTCCTTCTCCTCCCGGAGGCAGCTGTCCGCCGCGGCCGCCGGCCTTTCTCGGGGCGGAGACGGCGGGGGGGGGCGGCCTCGCGCGGGGCCTCTGCCGCTAGCCGCGAGCGTAGATCGTGGGGGCGGGGCGGGGCTGCGGCCCCGGGGGTCCTGAGTCCACATGTGGGCGGACCCCGCTGGTTGCCGTGGGAACGAGAAGGGATGCAGTTGGGAAAGGAAAGCAGTGATGGCGGCTGGCTTAGAAGAGGCTTGCCGATTTTTTTTGTCTGTGTTCACGCCCAGATGCGGTGCTGTTTCTTATAAGAAAAAGAATGGAGAGTGGGAGAGGAGAAAAATTCAGTTGAATGAAATATTAAAGGCCGTACATGGAGAGGAGAAAAGATACTGCATTTCTTGAGATGGTTGATACACAGGGATCTTCAAGTAAAATGTTCCAATCCTACATAAGAGAAGAAATAAACGATTAAGGGAGGCTCTCATCCGCTTCAGAATGGAGACCAGAAGCCGGCTTCTTAGTCAGCAGTGGTCATTACTGGCTTCATTATCCCTGGGCTGGGTTTATTTCTTTCTGAGGTCCAAATAGGTAACCTTGGCTCTTCTGTCTCTTTTGTATATTTAGGTACTCAGTAACTTGTTGGCTGATGTCACTTAAAGGCATTTTAGACTGGGTGGAGCACAAATAAGATAGACAATAGAAATTCTTGCAGCTTTTACCGGTGTCACAGAGTCTCCCTATATCTGGGGTCCAGGTGTCTCCGATGCAGCCCCCACATTCAGGCAGTGGCTGCTCCTTAGCAGTATGGCATCATTTCTTTCTGTTCTTATCATCACCACCCCTAATTTGGGACTCCCTGGTCTCTGAACTGGATTCACGTATGGACCTTGCAACAGCACTGAGAGCCCCTGTCGGCCACTCCCAAGCTGCGGCCTCTTCCCTGTCACATTAGCAGCGTAGGTCCAAATGCCTTCAGTCACCAACAAGATGCTCCCAGAGGCTCCTCGCTGTCTGAGAACTGAGCACCAGACTCACGTTCCCCAGGACTAGCTTTCTTGTTTTTTGCCCTTGAGTCACCCCTTGCCAGATGGGGCTCTATTACACGCTGAATCCTTCTCTTCGTCTTCACAATTTCTAAGACACATCTTGAGCAGCACAGAGTCTAGACAAAATATGCTTTGGGGGAAGTCTTTGTTTTGGGTTTTCTCATCTGACCTTCACTGCCTTCCCTTCCCATCCATATTCTATCTTTTTTAAAAAGATGTCTGTTACACTGTATTTTTATTGGATGTGTGAAGGGGCAAACAAGCCACACTGCAGGCACGTGGGAGGTCAGAGGACAGTTCGCTGGGATCTGTTCTCTCCCTCTTTGTGAGTCCCGGTGACCACACCCAGGTTGCCAAGTTTGGTGGCAGGTACTTTTTTTATCTGCTGAGCCATCTTGCAACACCACTTTCTATTCTTCTTCTCAGCTGGCTATCAAATATTCTCTCTTAAGCTATTAACTGTAGGGACATACCATGGAACCTCTCTCCGAGGTCTTTGCCTTTCAGTGGGATATATATGACTAAGGATGCCAAGTTTGAGGCTCTTTATCTATATCTGCAGATATAGCTCAGAACCTACCTGGCATGTACAAGGTTCTGGGTTTTCTCCCTAGCACCACATAAAATGGGCATGATGACACACACCTGGAATCCCAGTACTTAGAGGAAATGGAGGCACAAGACCAGTGAAACCTTCTCACCCTGTGTGTATGTGTGTGTGTGGTGGGGGATTGAATCTCTTAGTAGTAAAATGATAGTTAGGGAACTTGGGGACTTACCTCAAAAATGAGAACTGTAATGGTAATTAGTGATAATTATTATAACTGATTACTGATTAACATAGAAGCACATTGAAGCCTAAGTGAGATAGTTGAACAGGAATGACACAGTCAAGGACACCTGACAGGGAACAGATTCAGAGCTCAGAAGCAAGACTCCCATTCTCAACAACTTGATGTTGCCCACTAGCAAAAACAAAAACAAAAACAAAAAAACAGCAACAACAAAAAGCCATATTGGCACATCTTAGATGTGGGTGTTTGATCTTCTATTTTAGGAGCTATAGAAAAAAAATACTTTGTGCTTCAAAAGATGGTTGTAGGGTTTAAATGAGAGGAGACAAAAACATCAATTGGTAGGTTTGTTTTCCAAGGCATATTTTACTATTATAACACAAACTAGTCTAAACTATAAGTACTTTAAAGTTTTAAAATAACAAGGCTTGGAGAAGTCACTCATTTTGGTTGGAAACTTTCCTACATTTCAAGTCCTCTTGTTACTTTGTGCTTTTCAGGATGTTGTCATTGATGCATAGCCCAGGCTATCTCTAAACTCATGATCATCCTACCTCTGCTTCCCCAATGCTGGGGTTACAGGCACCAACATGTCTGCTCCCTTCTATCGTGGTTTTTGAAAGTTCAGCCCCATGAAAAGAAAATGCTATGCCCTTGAAAGAAAGTGACATTGCCAAAGGTCAGTTCATAAAAAAAACTACAAAGCAATTCCAACGTCAGTGTTTCATGAGTGAACTTAACCTTGACATGTAAATTACAAAGCCAATCCTTTCCAGCAATAAAAAGCGAAGTGCTACCAACGAGAAACGTGAAAGCCAAGAAGAGAAAATCATTTCCGCTGAAGGAAGCACCCTATTCTCCATTATTTTTTGTATGATATACCTGGTAAGTGATGAGTAAAGAAGAAAAAGGCTTAAGTAGGCATGGGTTGAGATGACTTGTTTTTGCAAATAAATCTCAAGAAATTCTTTAAATGTTCTGCAAAGGGCAACTGCAAGTATAATGTTTCAGGTGAAGCCTATGAAGTTTTAAAAGCAACAGCATAAAAGTATTTAATCGGGTGCAAAATGTAAGCTGTTGGAAGGGGAGTGACTCCTCTAAGGCTCAGGGTCCCCATGGATACTTGGCCCAGGCACTCAATGGTGTTGAAGTAGCCAACCCTAACACACACACACACACACACACAGAGAGAGAGAGAGAGAGAGAGAGAGAGAGAGACAGAGAGAGAGAGACAGAGAGAGAGAGACAGACAGAGAGACAGAGAGAGAGAGATTGACTAATTAGGTCCTTGTCAGCGTACAATCAGAAGCTCCTACAGGCCACAGACCTTTGTGCCAAGTGGCCTCCCTTGCAACAGCTTAGACAGGGTCATTTTGCCTTGAGCCTCCCATGACTAATGAGTTCCTGTTCTCATCAGATGAGGTCATTGTGTTGGTGTTGCCTTCATTCATGACTGGCATGAACTATGCCTGTTTGTTTGTAAAAAAAAAAAAAAAAAAAAAAAAAAAAAAAAAAAAAAAACCTCTATCCTGGGTGTGGTGATGCACCCTTATAATCCTAGCACTCTGGGGGTGGAAGCAGGAAGATTGTGAGATTCATGGCCAGCCTGGGCTACACAATGAAACTCTGTCTCAAAAAACAAGCAAACAGGGGCCTGCAGAGACGGTTCAATGGTCCTCTTTCAGAGAACCTCAGATCGGTTCCAGATACTCATGTGAAGTAGCTCACAGATATAGCTCCAGCTTTGGGGATCTGACACTGTCTTCTACACCCATATACACCTGGCATGCATACACACAGATACATATAAATGAAAAAATTCATTACAATTACAAAACAAAGAAAAATGTCTTTAAGAGAGGCTTTCCCCGGGAAGGGGCTGTGGGCATGTTTGGCTTCTAGAATTCCTTGGGAATTTATCTGATTAATTTAAAAATCTTTTCTACACTTAGATTTGTTATTTTGTGTGTGGTGGGGAGCACGTGCCATGGTGCCTGTGTGGAGACTGGAGGACAACTTGGGGGAGTTGGTTCTCTTTTTCCATCACATGGGTCCCAGGGATTAAACTTTGGTCATCAAGTTTGGTGGCTTTGCCGGACCATCTTACCAGTCCCTGAACAATTTTTAGAACTAAACAATGACTAAGAACGTTGTGGGATGTTGTAATATTCTGCTATGTTTAACATATAGCATTGTTTCATTAGATAGGTGCCATTGTGGCAATTTGTTAATGTTGCCCATTAGAAGTAGACATATTAATGTCTTTTAAAATGATTAAAGGGGGGGGGGAGGAATGGAGGGACAGCTCAGTTGGTAAATTGCCTTCTGTACAAGCATGAGGACCTGAGTTAGGATCTCTAGTATTCATGTGCGAAACTAGGCTTGGTCATATGTATGTGTAACCAACATGATTGGAAGGTGGGGGTGGTAGGGTGTGGAGACAAATAGATTCCCCAGAACTCACTGGCCAGCCAGTCTAGCCAACCTCTGAACTCTGGGTTCAGTGAGACACCCTCTCTTGAAAGATAAGGTGGTAGAGTGATCAAGGAAGATACAGGATCCACCTCAGGCCTTGGTGCTTCTGAGCACACACATGCATACACTACACACATACACAAACACACGAGTAGAATGCTTCGTAGGTCGTTGAAGATTCAGGATTTATTCTTGGTTTTATAGGATCAGGAGTGCATGTGGGTGGGGGGGGCTACAAACTACAAGGGTGGCAGGGTAATGATCTGAGGGGGGCAAGAAGGAAGTCAGCTGCAACACGACTTAGTACCTGTGTGGGTTCAAACTTCTAGAGCCCAACCCTGGGAAGTTTATTAGAAAATAAACTACAGTTTTGAGAAAAAAAGGTTCCTGGTAACAATGACATCAACCCCATGTGCACAACAAAGTTTAAGTTGTAACTACATCAAAACTCTTTCGAAAAGTACATGTGACCTCTTCCATAAAGACCGGTTCTATGGCTTAAGTGCCTAGGGGAGGATCAGGTGCGGTCTCAGAGCTCACCAAGCTACAAAGTATGTGTGGCATCTCCCCTAAAGATGGGTCTGTGGGCTGAGAGACAATACTCAAAATAAAAGAGGAAGAGTCTGGAATAAATATAATAGTCTTCGGTGTTCAGATGTAGGGGCTTTGAGGCTTCACATATGCTCAAGCCATGCTCAGTATCCAAGACCACTTCCTGTTATCAAGAT